TATCGGGAGCCATATCAATATTGTACTTGTATTATTTCAGGAAAGCATCAGCCAAGTTTTTCCAACTACGAATACGAGCACGCTCAAGATGCATATACTAACTCAAAGCTCCCTCAATCAAACTATCTTGGAAAAAGTGAATTAGCAGCTTATTATCATAGGCATGTGATGGCATCTTCCTACAGTACATGATCAGATGACTCTTTGGGAATGTCGTTCCTTTGTACTTATCAAAATCAGGCACTTTGAATTTTGGGGGAACTATCACATCTGGGACTAAGCAAAGATCCGCAGCTTCCCCAATGCCATAGCTGCTCCCCTCAATAACTCTTAATCTTTCTTCCAATATTTGCAATTTTTCTTTGGATTGGAAGTGCTCCTCTGAGTAATTGGGTTGAGGTTCTTCTAAGGTCTTTATGAGAATGGAATGGTGATATGGCTGGGTTTCCATCAAGGCTAGAATTAGTGATTTGTGGTTGGTGGTGGATCGGTTGATTTGGGATAGGTATAGTGTGGGGTATATGAGTTTCTTAGGGATGGACATTTTGAGGGTAAGCATATGATGGGATGGATGTTTGGGTTGGTTGGATTTGTGGACTTAAAAGTTGTGCAGGATTGGGTTGATTTGATGGTTGGCCAGTGTTTGGTGGGTTCTCAGCTATTGGTGACGTATAATCAAGGGGGAGGCCATATTGGGGATATTGGACATCTTGTTAATTGAAAGCTTGTTGTGGAGTCCTTTCTACATGCAAGGTCAGAGGCACCATTGTTTCATGAGGAGGAAAACTTTGAGACGGTCCTTGTGTAAGGGTGAAACCAGGTGGATAGGTAGGAGCTGGTTGTGCTAGAGGTGCTTGAGTAGGGGTACTCTCTATGGCTCTTCTCTCTAAAGACTTCAGTGCCTCTAGGATCTGTGTCATTTGTTCTTTCAACTGATTGACATCGTTGCTTAGTTCTTCATTATGCTCCTCTAACTCATCCATGATTCTTGTTTGAGCGCGAGTTCTATAAGGATGCTTTAGAAAATGTTCCCCCGTTATATTTGTTTAATTTTTTCTGTGAGTGATACAATAATAATAAAAAATAAATAAAAGATGATACAGTCAAAAAGAAGTTAACACAATAAAAAAAATGTTTAAAGAGAAAATTGAAAACTTGAAGAATCATCACAGTTGTTGAACATCTTTAAGTTTTTTTTTAAACGAGAATTAATGTGGGATCATCATCAAATAAACCACATCAAGATATAAATTTTCTTAATTCAAATGATATCATCTCATTGCTACTTGATTCCACATTAATTTTTATTTTCTTGAATACTCAAACAACTTTGTAATTTTTAACCTATAAATAAAAAGAAAATGATGAGAAATTATTTCAAATTTTGTATTTGTTTTATTAACATAGGATCTTAGTAGCCATAAGGATTAATATTGATTCCAAACAGATAAACATCCGTATAAGAATCAACATTAATTCTAAATGAATCGATAATCCACTAAGCTTTTACATTAATGAGACAAATATGTGATGATCATGATAATGCGAGAACAATATGAATTATTACCCTTTTTATGTTCTTTTTCAATTTTTTCTTTCGATAAATGTAAATTGATACTTAAAAGGGTAATGCTTCATATGACAATGCAATGATGTAAGAAATTATGCAAATTGTCATCCTTAACCTTATTTCAAAACTGATTTTAAATTTATTACAAGTGTCACAAGAATGGCAATAAGCATGATATTCAAATAAATGATATGCAATGATATATGAAATGATGATGATGTAAGAAAAATTAATTGAGAGGATCATGTGAATCACTACTCCTTATATTATTCCAAAATATAGTAAAAAAAAAAAATTCTTCTCCTTTTTTATTTAAAACTTTAAGGCACTAATAATTCACATGATTTCTAAAAGAGTAGATAAGGAAAGAATACCCCCTTTGTGTCCTATTTCAGGTTACCTAAAGGGTCTAACTTAAAGATCTACAACTTTCTTTTATGTGTAAAAAAAAAACTCACAAAAGGTGGCTTGTAATCCTAAAAGGTCACTAGAGCGAAGATCCAATCCTTGATGTTGACCACAACAGTAGGGAGTCTACTAGATGCGGGACATCATGAAAAGGTCAAACTCTAGCTAGGATTTTCACAATAGCCAAATAGGATGTGCATCCAAAATGACACCGCTACATAACTCCCCTAATCCTAAACATACTCAGACCCGGGTATAGGGCTCCACTCACAGTGTGTGATGAACGTGTAAATGGTAGTGTGTGAGGGAGCATACAAACCTTATCAACTCAACAAAAATAAAAGCTGCAAAAATTAAACAACACAAGAATATCACATATTATCAATAGTCATCTATCTTAGGGTTAACAATAATATTAAGAAAAATATATACAACAAGGTTACAAAAATACATGCACGAAATAAATACATGAATAAAAGAAACATAATACAATTAATTCAAATAATAAATAAGAAAAGAAAAAGGGATTAAGTAAATAGAAACAAAATTACACAAATTTGCACAATTAATTATCAAAGGCTTGACTCTCTAAAAAAAATCTGCAGTGGAGTCGTCATTTGTGGCAACGGTACGGCAAAAAATGTTTTCAAAAATCAGAAGAGTTGCCACTAAAGTTTATTTTAAGAAAACCTTGGAAAAAACTTTTAAAAATAATATGATCTTTGAAACCAAAAATGAGTTCGAGAGTCATTTACGTGTGAGGAAGGTTAGCACCCCACAACGTCCATTCAAAACGGTTACCTAAAATAAATTATGCAAATTTATTTAAATTCTGAAAAATATTTATTTAATCCTTAAACATTAATTATTTTATTTTAGAAGAAGAAATATTATTTATTGAAATATTATTTGGATTATTTTGAAAATTATTTTGACTTGATGGGTTCGATTCCCCCTCCTACCTATCGCTGGGTGCAATGGGAAACTCAAAGCCACTTAGTTCTATCTAAAAATTATGAAATTGATTGATTAAAATTAAGTTTAGTACAAGAAAATTTATTTTAAAATTAAAATTATTTTCATAAAATGATAATGTTTAAGATACAAGATAACGCGATTATACATGTACTGTACGAGAAACAATATAGAAAGTGAAGGAAGATCACACAATTATATTGCAAATCATTAAAATATTTTATTCGTAAACAAAGTATTTGAATTTGAATTTTAATTACAATTAATGTTAAAAGAAAATTTAAGATAGCATAAGCTATACATAAATCTCTTATAATTTATTTGACAATCGAAGGCAATATAAATCACACATCAATGTTGCAAAAATTTGTATGGTAAAATGAAGAAATGATTAGTTACTTAATTTATAAAAATTAGAAGGATGATTGAAGAAATTTTAAAATACGAAATTAATTCTATTTAGTGAAAAAATATATATTTAAATTGATTGAAAAAAGTATTTAATAAAAAAGATTAAAACTTTGTTTGATAAATTTATATTACATAGAACCTAAGGTAACATTGGTACACATAGGTTCTAACAACTTATAACGCGTAAAAGTAGAATCGTTACACATTAACATTATAAATTATTCTGTTAATAAAATAATTTCTATTTAAATTGATTGGTTATTAAAAATGTTAGTTAATTAATTAAAGATGACATATGATAAATTAATATTGCATAAAGTCTTGATAAAGTAGGTACACGTAGACTTTATCAATTTATAATACATTACGATAGAGAAGCTATACGTTAGTATCATAAATTGATGCAGTTGTATTATTATTTATTTATTTAACATTTATTAAAAATGCAATCAGTTTATCATCAAATATTTAAAATTATACAATATAATAAAGAATAATAATGCTAGATATCATAAATAAGGATTAAGGTGCAAACAATAAATTAACACAAAAAAGAACAATAATAATTAATAACAAGATGTATGAATAATAAACTAAAACTAGTAAAATTTTATATAAATTACAGCAAGACTTCTAATTCTGTCCTATTTATCCTATATTATTATTTGTATTTTACAAAGAATAAAGTTTAGGGTCTTAAATGAAAAAAACTAAAAATTGTTAGTTGGATGAGACCTAAGAAAGTAATAAGGAAAAATGGGCATAACGTTGCAAAATGATATATTACAAAAGCCTTGGTTCAATGATGTCTACTACCAGATCTTAGGCGCTATTCAAGTTAGATAGTGATGTGCATCTATGAATGAGCGAAATACTGCAAGTTAACACAACTAAAAAAAATCAACGTGAAATAAGGAAAGGATAGCCCATACCTTTGCTGTTAACCACCCTTCCTCAATGCTTCCGTGAGTCTAAATTTTTTATTTTTCTTTCTCCCCTCAAAATTCTTGAACCCCCTTTCATAGTTCCTCTCCCCTTTTATTGTTAGGATTTTCATAAAATGCCAAAAATCTGAAAAATTTCCTTTTTATGTATAAAGTATCATTGGTTTAAGAGTTTAATTATTTGTAATATTTCATTTTCTTTTTGAGAATTAATTCTAAATTTTTCTTATTTTATTAAGACAAATTTTTGTTTTTTCTTAAAACTCTTTGTTTCTATTCCCTTTTTGTAATATTAAAATTCAGATTTTTTATTTTGAAATAAAAAAAATTAAATCAAAATTTTGGTGTTCATAATAGGAGTAAGGAAAAAAAAATTTAAATGGATAAAAAATTTCAATGACTGAATATTAAAACCTTAAACGGTAACTTACGAATACAACACGTAAAAATGCGTTAGTTTTCAAATTAACAACAATAAAAGAAACAAAATAAATCACAGAACATAATGAAAATACATCTTCAAATATATTTACTCAAACAATAAATACAACACTGGATGGCATATAAGATAAGATACATGATTTAAACTTTCACAAAGGGCAAGTAAATAAATTGGCTTATATATACGGATTCCTGGACGTCATGCGTGATTTCAATAACGCCTTAAGCATTGCACAAGGTTACCAATGAACTCAATTCACCCTGCTGCACACACTTCTAATTTGGCCCTGTTTACCGGTTAGTATGCCAAGCTCACCCATCTTGATCATGGCCTTGCCAAAATCTGATTCGAACAGTGATGAATCCTTGGCATAATCTTCAACTTTGGAATTCGTTGAACCACCGTTGTAGAGCTGTTGATCAGAGTGGAAAAGACCCTTTTTGGACATTAAATCCTTGAAATAAGCATTGTCGAAAGTGTCTCGAGTGGTGATGTCTAAAGGAGATAAATTGTCATCACCACCTACAAAGGGACAATTTTCTCTCAACAACTTTGCATACGAGGTATCTATGTTGCTTTCGTTATAAATCCTTGTTCGGAAGAATAAACACCTGGCTCTGCCTATTGTGTGAGCAGCTGTACAACAAATTTAACTAGTTGAATATATATGAGCAAATCAATATTTATTACAGACTTAATAATGTTTATTTTCGTAAAAATTGTAAGTCTATTTTAATTTTAGTCTTTAAGCTTTTTTCATTTTATTCTTAATTTTATTGAAATACTTGTTTTGTCTGTGTTGATAGTTTGACTTTATAAAGTGATACCCTGGCATAATCAAATTATGCTGTGTCAATAATTCGTTAGTTACACATCACCTAATGAATATAAAAACTAACAATAAAAATTAAAAGTATGTATGACATTAAAATTAAAGATAAAAAATTGAAATTTGTTAATATTTTGGAAATAGAGATATACTTAAACCTTTATTATATAGCAAATCCTCCTAATTAATGAATTTTGCATGTTAACCTGTAAGATTTGTTTGTTAAGTTGCATGCAATGGGTATGCGTCAATCTACCTGATAAAACAACCATTTCATCGACTTCGAATCCCTTTTTATCGAAAGCCCTAATAAGGGAATTAAGATCCAAATTGGGACCCGGTAAATCTGAATTAGCTTCACTTAAACTTGCAGTGCTTGAGTCTCTTCTGCCCAATCCTACCTCCCAACCATCTCCACCAAGCTGAGAATTATTTCTCACTAATTAGTTTCACATCTCACACATGCAGTGATAGGAATACCATAATTTAGCGTATAGTATTTTTCAAACAAGTACTTACGGCAACAACAGAATCTCTTGCAGCTACGGCTACGATGTCAGCGCAAGACACAACACCGGGGCACACCAACTCCAGGTGAGTTTTTATGTTCTCTATGACATCAAAACCCCTTAGAGAATTAGCGTTGGGAAGCGCACCTTGTTCGCCTTTGAAAGTTTCTGTGTCCTTTAACAATACTGATCCATCACACCCCTTCACAATGCGAATAAAATTAAAAGAGTTCTGATATTTTGAATAACCTAAATTTAGATTTATAAGCGACATTATATGTGTGTGTGTGTATATATATATATATATATACACATGTCTATTTTTAATGATACATCGAACATTCTTTAAAACAGAAATGTTTTTAACCGGTCTATTTTCTTTTTTTATTTCCTTTCATGTATCATCGAATACTTTACACGTTAATCTTCTAATAATTTTTATAAGCAGCGATTAATTTGTTAAAGTTCTTAACTGGAACTATTAGGTCCATCTGTAATTTCCCCGTTCATGAATTCGAAATATAAATTATATGGCGAATAACATGACATGATACTTTATTGAAAATATTAATTATTTTAATGAAACCACGTATTAATCAATAATTAACAATATTTTTTAATCCCTTTATAAAATAGTTTAAATATGATTGACATATTCTGATATAGATTAAAGTCATTATTAAGATACTTTATTGAGTAAAATATAATGTCATGTATGCAAATTATTAACTATATATGTTCTAACTTCTTATAATAATTAGATGATAAACTGAGAAGGAGACCTTTTTTTATTTAGTATAAAAAAGTTGAGAGATTAACTATTGTGAAAGTTTATTATATACCAAAATTACACATTCATCGTAGTAAATAGATTAATTATAGTAAAATATTTCATTTATACTCTACTTTTTTTTCCCGTTAGTGTGTATTGTTAATTTTGCGCATAGGCGGGGGTTAAGGATATGAAACACATATTTCACAACAATATAGCAGCTCTTGCTTGCAGCAATTGTGTAATGTATGCAGGTGTTTCAAAAGTAATATGTAAAGGGTTTGTCTAATTTGTTTTATAATAATATCATTTTAAGTGAATTAATAAAATTAAATTATTATATTAAAAATTATATAATTTTTTTATTGAATATTTTATAGATAAAATTTTATAAGTCCACTTAAGTAAAATTTATGCATGTAACCAAAGAAAAAAGAAAGAAAAATTTATGCATCTTATAAATACTTTAGACAAACCCATGTATAAAACAATAAAAAGATGAAGACTTACTTGGACAAAGCAATCATGGAAATGGAGACGGAGCAAGGATGCACCCATTCGAGGCTCTTTCAACACAGCCAAAGTAACTATTGTCTTAATGGTAATAAGGGCTGTGGGACATTTTAAGTGATAAAACGAGGGGCTTAACCTTTGACTATTAGGAATTGCTAAAGTTGAAGTCACAATAAGACACAAGAACAAACAGATTCTGACCCTTTGATGAGAAATTCCATCCATGTTTTTAGGAATTCTGAAGGCAGGGAAAACAAGAAGGGTATGTGATTCGTGCTTGGTTAAGGGCATGATGGAATGACCCCTATATATACATGATGCTTCACCAGCATTGCTTACTTTGTGTTGAAAAAAGTATTTGAATATTGCAATGAATGCGGTCGAAATCCATGTTATCTGATTATTTTTTTTCAGATTAAATTGTGGTTTCATGCTACGTCGTTAGCTGTATTGTGCTAAAAGTGTTGACTTGTTGATAGTATGCAGATTTTATGGCGGATATAAATGCAGGCAACTGTCTAAGCTACGCGATGTCAAACCCATTTGATTAATCGTTTTTTCATAATGTATAGTAAGTTTGAAGAAATTAAAAACAATTATTTTTTGCCCTTCATCTGGAAATATAAAGCCTTTTTTTTCAATTTTTGGAGACTTGACATTCATTTACTCTCTATATTGCACTGTATTAGGTGAAAATGAATGCTTATTTTATTTTGAATTGCCAACACCGTGGCAGTGCTCTGCAATATCAGCAAAAATTAAAGAAATATTAATGCATTAAGAGGTTAATATACACAAGATTATCAATGTCCATATACCGAATAACAGAAGAGGGATTAAATTATACTATGAATAAATTTATATAAAATATGATTTTTTTAATTCAACTGTTAAACTATAATAATATATTATTTTAATTATTAATATTAAAATTGAACGATTGAAAGATTCTGATTTTAATAATTTTTAAGATATATATTATATTAATTTTAATATACATTAATAAAATACTAATAATTTGATAGATTTTAATTTAATGATTAAATTTAAAATAAAATTATCATAAAAGTTATCAAATTGTTAAATCGGTATATATATACATTAAGAATCCGTTCATATTCCTTTGAAAATTAAATTTAATATCCAACTATTCAAGAATATTAAATTTGATAAATATTTTAAGGAAATAAAAATATAAAATTAACATTTGGTTATAATATCATTCGTCATCTTTAAAAATTAAGTTCTATTACAAATTAATGATTAAAATATTGGGTATGCCCATTTTAGATGCATATGTCAAGTATATTTCAGGTATCTTGTTAAAATATTACACGTGAAGATGAAGAATATTATAAAATTTTAAAGGCAGATGGATTTGTAGATATTAGTTGGAAAGAATATGCTGAACACTTGCGGTGTTTAAACGAAATATGAAATAAAAAGAGGGAGAGAAAAAGAAAGATCAGATTAAAGTAGAAATATGATAGAAAAAAAGTGTCCGAATTGTAGAAATACGAGAAAAAAAATTTGTTTATTTATTTAAATACGTAAAAAAGACAGAAAAAGTTAAATTTTTTAATTCAAAAACTACCTATAAATACTATAAAAAATTATTAAAACAAATAAAATTCACGGTGTCTGTTCAGCTTGGTTAACTAACCTAATTTATTAAAGTCGCAAGATGAAATATAAATTATATAAAACATATAAAATGTAAATAATTTATATGTTTGGGATAGTTTAAAGTTGCAAGTTGAAAATGAGAAACTAGATTTATTTGTTCAACAAACGACAATAAAATAAAATTCCAAGTTTTATTGTTCAAACATGCAAAATTTAAATAAAAAATTATAAAATTCAATTTTCAATACGTAAGAATGGCGTAACACATATTTTAATTTATTTTATTTTATAGTTGTCGCAACATTGTTTGCATTTTAAGGTTGTTAAATATTTTTATTTAATTATATTTTTTATTCTTATACTTTAATTCATATATAATTTTGATCTTTTAATTTTTTTAATGCTCAAATTAAATTATTTATCTTGAAATTTTATCCAATTATTAGTAAAAAAATATCGAAGGAATGAATTTTTATTGATTTATACAAATAAAAAAATATTCAAAATTTTTAAATAAAAATATAAAATATAATATAATAAAAATCTTAATTTTAAGAAGGAAAAATTAATTTGAGCATTTAAAAAAATTAAAAAGAGAATAATTTAAACAATTAAAATTAGAAGGACCAAAATTATATATACATTAAAGCATAAGGATAAAAGTGCAATCAAGCTAATATTTTTGTAAAATATTTTTTTTAATTACTTATTTTATAATAGTGTTAGCGATAAAAAAAATAGTAATTATTAGCATGATTCAGTTGTAATTATTTTAATATTGTGATAGTCAATCAATGTTTTGTTATTGTATCAGCAAGAATAAAATTTTGTAAATACAATAATTAAATTATTGATAAAATTTCTAGTTAAATTTCAAAAAAATTGGTAAAGTTATTATTTTGATAATTTATTTATTTAAAAATTATTTATAGGTGTGTTAAGGTGTCTATAAAAACTGAGCCAAATTATTATTTTTTGCATATTTAAATGTAAGGATATTTGAATGAAAAGGTGTGACTGTTCAAAGTAACGAAAAAACTTTTTAGATAAGGTGAGATATTAGTCTTTCTATGTTGAGTAGAAGGATTTTTACGATGTTTAAACTTTACCAAATTGTTTTCATGCTTGAAAGCAAGATTGTTATATGATTGTCAAAATAGAAAATATACAACATTGAAAGTATATGATAATAAAGATGTAAGTTGTATCATCAATATTTTTAAGCAATGATTGAGTTATATGTTGAGTTTAACTTTGTCAGCAAATTGCACTCGTCACCGATAAATATTAAAACAAAAATTGAAGAAGAGTTTAAGAAGTCTATTGTACATGAACAAAGTTTGATGTTAATATTTATTTTTACTAATTATTGAAATATACTTCATATAAATTTTTTGTTAATTTATCAAATCGCAATTGCTTTTTGGGACACTGGTTTTAATTTTACCTATTAGACATACCAAGTCCATTTGTTGTTATAAGCCCAATTGCATGAACATCAATTACATCATGATTATCTATTACTAAAAATTAGCCAAATCCAACTAGTAATAATAATTATATTTTAATTCAATTGTTAATGGTTTTTTTTAACATAATTGGATAATTTGACTTTTTTTAAATTAATTAGGTAAATAACAAGTTTTATTTTGTTAACTATAACACATTACAGTAATACACTGGATGTGTCTGGAGAATTTGGCAATGTTGCCAAAGAATGGGAAGCCATGACAAGTGACAAGACGTGGGGTTACTTAAATTGTGCGTTCAAGGTTTCATATGCCTATCACGGGTAGATTCTATGGTGTATTAGTGATTGAATTCGGTATGACGAAAGAATAATTATCGGTCCCACGACATTTATATCAGAGATGGTAAATGGTCAATTTAGGTATAAAATTTCATATAGCAAAGCATATAGAAGGCTAAACAAAAAAATATTATAAGCGGGTTTGGTGATTGTGATGAGCCTTATGAATTGTTGCCTTTGTAATTTGAGTTTATATAGTATCGTAAAATATGAAGAAAAAACAAAAAGTTATTGTATGTGTGTAGGATGATTAAAATGAATCTTATGCATTGTTGCCTTGATGGCTTGAGTGTTTTTTTTTTTACAAAAAAAAAAACACTCATTTTATTATTTAAAAAACTAAAATATAAACATTTAAAAGTATATAAAAATATATAATTAGTGAATTTTAAGTTTAAGTCAAATAATTAATCATGTTTTTATTTATTGTTTTATATTTGTTGGCTACTTCAATAATTTATTTTACTTATCAATTTTTATCTTTCAACTTTTAATCAGTATTTTAAATTTTATCTGACTAATTTCTTTGCTAATTTTGTCACACACATATAATATCAACCACCTCATTAGTGAAATTAAAAGCTCAAGGGACACAGGTACCCACGACCACAAGTGACATTTGGAGATAAAAGGACATGAATAGAGAAGTACATAGGGACACAAATTACACAAAGATCCATGTTTCTCTGGAGACGAGGTACAAAAGACATGGACACAGTGACAAATTGACTAAAATATCTTGAGTTACTTTTGAAAATGACACCCACTTGTCCTTGTACCATAATTCAAATCAAAGGGTAATTTAATAATGTTGTATATTCTGTCCCAATATCTAAAATAAACAAATAACATACACACCCACAACTTAATAAACATGTCTATAACCAAATATATACACACGCACTAGTGTATTACTAGAAATTAGTTAAGAGTGTTCGTAGTTTGTTAATTCTATAGGCTATATAAACATTCTATTTTCTCTTATAAAACTAATCTTTTCACTGATTCAGATTAATACAAATTTATATTTCTTCTATTATTTTTTCTAGGTCATGATTCTTAACATAGTATCGGAGTCATGGTGAGCTTCTGATTCAATTAGGCACTTTACGGAGAGAAAATTTCACTTTCTCTTTTATTATTATTATATAAACCTATTCTCTCCCTTCTCTTTTTTTTCAACATCTCCGCCATCCCTTTCCCTCTTTCTCTCTCCCTCATATACGCACACACCAATGAATGACGAGTAGGTGAGGATGGCCATGATGGACGACACTGTCGTCGACCTTCTGCTACGTCTCAAGCACGCTGTTTCGTCTAAACTTCAACTTATGTCTCTCTCCTGGGGCCTCAAACAACCACGCTCAAGATCAAGGCTAACCACCATCGTCTCTTGCTACAACACCGTCGTTTCAACCAGATGCAGTCCAACCACTCCTCTCTCTTAGAGCGACGACGCCTATTCTTTTGACACCACCGATGGTTACGAAGACTCCAGTCATAACCATCACACCACCAGATCCAAGGGACTCAGTTCGAAGGAAAGATTATTTTTTGTAATACGCTATCATTATATTTTTTTTTTCGAAGCAAAGAAGAAGGAGGATTTCTTGCTATCCTTGCTTTACTTGCTTGAGAGATCAATGGTCTCCGATCAGAAACGTTGGCTCCGATTGCGTTTCTGTAATCACTACTTCAATGTCACTACACCAGAACACAGATTTGAGAGTAGTTCTGTTTTGAATTAGAAAGCATTTAGAACTATTATAAAATCTTGCGCTATCTAATGTGTTATATTTAAGAGAGCGGTTAAACAACTGCTCTCAAATGTTAAGACTAGAAAGCGGTTCCACGTGGAACTGTTTTTCAACGTATAAGTGTAGAATTAGAGAGCGGTTCCACGTGGAACCGCTCTCCAAAGTATAGATGTAGATCGTGAATATAAAATTTGAAATTGATTTCTTTTTGAGTTTTTTGTTGCAAAGTAAAATTAATTTATTATTACATTTAAATCAAAATTTAGAATTGATTTCTTTGTGAGTTTTCTTTATACATTTGGTGTTAACTAAACAGTCCACATCTGCATGAAACAAACACAAATAAGCAGAGAAAAAAGAGAACAAATTAGTACGATAATTTTTAATGTTAATAGAGAGAAAAAGAAAGAAAGCTGAATGAATGATTCACTATTAACAAAGAGAGAAGAAGAAAGAAAGAAAGAGTGAAGAAGTATCTACAGATGTGAAAAAAAAACTTGTTAGCGTAGAGAAGATGAAGAGAGTAGACTAACAAAGAATAAAGAGGTACCTACAAATGTGAAAAAAAACTAATTTATTAGTGAGAGAAGACGAAGAAAGCAGGCTAATAAAGAATAAAGAGGTACCTACAGATGTGGAAAAAAATAATAATTTGTTACTAAGAGATGACAAAAACAGCAGACTAACAAAAAAAATGAAGGGAACATAAAAAAGCAGTGGAGATGAACAGAACTTACAGTAAAAGAGACTAAATTTATTAGCTAAGAGAAGAAATGCGTTGAGCGTGTTTCATTTATAAACGACTTTAATAATTTTAGATAGCAGTTCTTTATTAACCGCTCTCCAAAAATGAGCTTAGAGAGCAAATCTTTATTAACCGCTTTCCAAGAATGAGCTTAGAGGGCGGTTTTTTATCAACCGCTCTCCAATGCGTGACTTTAAAGAGCGGTTAATAGAGAACCGCTCTCAGAAGTATAGATCTGAGAGTAGTTAACAGACAACCACGCTCTAAATATATAATTATAAAGCGATTTTTACTAACTGATATCTAAGTTTGCACTCCAAAAGCTCATTTCTGGGGTAGTGTGTGGACCCTTGTCTTGCCCTCTAGATTACTAAAGCCTCTCTGTTCTGAATCAGTTTTTTTTCTCTGTCGGTTTGAAATGGATTCCATATGTTTCAATGGATCAATTTTTTTTAAACAAGATTTATCGTTCTTGGCTTACAATTTTTGAAATTGTGAGTAATTAGTCATACCTATGTATACTCTTCTGCTCTACAGTGATTGATGCATCAAAGGAGTTTGATGTATTGCTTACAAGTTTTTCTGCATTTGGTTATTGCCTCTCGTATTCCCTGTTGGTAGCTTCTGATATTGTAGTTTCTGAAATTTTCAGTTTGGGGCTAATTGCACACATAAGGTACGTGGCTTCAAATTTGGGACTAAGTTTTGTAGCAATTTTGCTTGGGTTGAAGACTTTTTGTGATTTATTAATCTGTTTTAGTGACATAAAATAGGGCTCACAAGCTATTTGGATCAAGTTCTTTTTTTGAAAATTTCTCTTATATTCATAAAGATTGACAAATGCAATGGTTTGCTTATGTTATTTTGTTATTGTTTCAGCCTTGTTTGGCTTGATTTTTTGGGTTTCTTCCAAGTGGTTAAGTGTTGAGGTATCACTTCTGTTTTGTGGTTAAGTCCTGATGGTTTCAGATTCTATCTTATGTTGGTTAAGCTTAGTTTTGCTTCCTCATGGTTTTTGCTTCTGCCTTATGGTGGTTAAGCTTGGTTTTGCTTCCTACCTCAGTGGTTAAGCCAATGGTAATGAAGGCTTCTTTGGATGGTTAAGCATTGATTTTTGTTGCTTTTGCTGGATGGTTAAAATGTTGAAGCTCATTTTTGTCTAGTATTCTAATTTTGCTCATATTGTCATATTACAGATTAGAGCCTTAGTTATTCTAGTCAATGTATTTCTATTTTTTTTTACTTATCTTATACATTTCTGTTGTTCATCCAAGCTTGAAGTGTTGAAGTGCTAGCACTTCATGCTTGCGGAAAACTGTTAGAAATTAGTTAAGACTGTTAGTAGTTAGTTGATTCTATATGCTATATAAACCTTTTATTTTCTCTTATGAAACCAACCTTTTCACTCATTCAGATTAATACTAATTTACATTTCTTCTATTATTTTCTCTGGGTCATGTTTCTTGACATATTGTGTCTCTGTCCATCACACCCACCAGTGTCCATGTCTTCGTATCCACAGACATTACTCCCAAACGCAGCCTTAAATACTTCATCATCTTATAAGTGAGAAAATCGATGATATTTTACTTTTACACACATGAATCTGAATTCTTTTTGATTTGTTCCAATACATTGTAAGCCAAATTCATTCAAGAGTCAAGAAAAAATAAACATGAGTCCGGAAAAAAAATCTTTTAAATGGGTCATAAATTTCAATGATTGCATATTAAAACCTTAAACGGAAACGTACAAATACAATATATGAAAAATGCCTTAGTATTCATATCAAAAACAATAAAAATACAAAAAGAATCACATAATGAACACATATTCAAATAATACTTCCTCAAACTATAAATGTGAACACGTACAGGATGGCAAATAATGAAACATAAATTAAACATTCACAAAGTGCAAGTAAATAAATAGGATTATGTATCGGATTCCTGAATATCATGCATGCATGGTTTCAATAACGCATTAAGCATTACACTAGGTTGCCACAATGAACTCAATTCACCCTGCTGCATACTCTTCTAATTTGACCCTGGTTACCGGTTAGTGGGCTAAGGTTACCCATCTTGATCATGGCGTTACCAAAATCTAATTGGAAGAGCAATGGTTTCGTGGCATACTGTAGAACCTTAGAATTCGTGATACCACCGTTATATAGCTGTTGATCAGAGTGGAGAAGACCCTCTTTGTACATTAAATCCTTGTAATAAGTATTGTCGAAAGTATCTCCAGTGGTGATGTCTAAAGGAGATAAGTTATTATCACCACCTACCAAGGGACAATATGCTCTCATTAACTTTGCATACGAGGGATCTATGTTGCTTTCGTTATAAATCCTTGTTCGGAATAATGAGCACCTGGCTCTGCCTATTGTGTGAGCACCTGTAAAACAAATTAAAGTAGTTGAATGTGAGAAGTAGATGTCTAAGATGGCAAAATCAGTATTTATCGTAGATTTAATTTTATTTTATTTTTTTGGTAGAGAGGTTTAGATTAGTTTAGTAAACTTTTAAAAAAGTTTTTATTGGAAAAAATTAATATAAAACATAATAAACTTTTTTCTTGTAAGTTATAAACATTTTATCTTCTCAAATTTTAGAGAAGTTAAATGAGAGAAGTTTTTAAAAAATAAAGAAACATACAATTTTATTTTTTTTTATAAAAATTTACTTAAATTATACCTTAATATATTTAATTTTTTAAAATATTAGTTTATTTTAATATTTTTTATTTTAATCTTTATTAATAGTTTTGTTCTACAAGAGGATGTTGTGATAAATAATTCTATCGTTACATTATCACTTAATGAAAAAAAAATCAACCATAGAAATTTATAATAAGTATTTTTCTGGAAGAAAAAAAATGTATTTAAGATTTTGTGTATATATAACAAAATCTTTCTAATGCATTATGCATAGTATGTAGTAACTGTTAAGGAAAACATTTTTTTTTAATATCTGAGGTAGAACATTCTTTTGTATCTCTTTCGATTTAAAAAATATTAATTTTGATATAAGTATATATAAAATAAAAGAATAAAAATATTTATATATAATATTACATATACTATCAATCTTTAAATATTTAATAATAATACCATTGGACTTGTATAACTTGTTAAGTTTCATGCAATGGATCTGTATCTATCTACCTGATAAAGCAACCATCTCATCGGCTGAGAATCCCTTTTTATAGAAAGCAGCGATTAGGGCATTGAGATCCAAAAACGGAGCCGGTAAATCTGAGTTAGCTTCACTTAAACTTGCAGTGGTTGAGTCTCTTCTTCCCAAGCTTACTACCCAGCCAACCCCACCAAGCTGAGAATTATTTCTCACTAATTAGTTTCACATCTCACACGTGCATATATAGGAATATCATAATGTAGCTGGTAATATATTCTTAAATAACTTTTTAACTCGTATAATATTATATGTGATGAAAAGTTATATATAATAATTATATTAAAATTATATAATCTAATATACTAATACTGTCAATCGTTACAATTTTAAATAAAAAATACTATTTCTAGAACTCTTATTAAATGCAATGTTCCATAAGTTAAAAATGTCAACTTTCAAATGATTACTTACAGCAACAACAGAATCCCTTGCAGCAACGGCTACAATGTCAGCACAAGACACAACACCAGGGCACAAAGTCTCCAGTTTAGCTTTTATGTTTTCTATGACATCGAAACCCCTTAGAGAATTAAGGTTGGGAAGAGCACTTTGTTCGCCTGTGAAAATTGCATTGTTCTCTAACAATACTGATCCATCACACCCCTTCACAATTCGAATGAAAATAAATAAAACAATCATTATTTGAATCACTTAAAAATAAAATTGTATATGATATTGTACATTTTTGTATTTTTATTTTATCTTTTATATACATTCATCTTAATAATACACAGTAAAAAGAAACATTTATAAATATTTACTTTTTATCTTACCTAAATATTTTATAGACAAAATTTTTATTTAATATTTTATAGACAAAATTTTATTAGTTTAGTCAGGATGAGTTCATATTTTCCAATAAATAACTTAGACAAATTAACCCATGCATAAAATAATAAAAGATGAAAACTTACTTGGACAAAGCAATCATGGAAATGAAGACGGAGCAAAGATGCACCCATGCGAGGTTCGTTCAACACAGTAGCTGTTACCATTGCCTTAATCGTAAGAAGGGCAACGGGACACTTTAAGGCATAAAACGTGGGGCTTAAGTGTTGACTATTGGGAAAAGGTAAAGCTGAAGTCACAGCAGTAGTTGCTGACGAAGTTAAATCTGAAGCAGAAACTATCCCAATAAAGCATAAGAATAAACAGATTTTGACCCTTTGATTAAAAATTCCAGCCATGTTTTAAGGAATTCTTAAGGTAGGGGAAACAAAGGAAAGTTTCGATTCGTGCTTGGTTAAGGGCGTGATGAAATGATTCACCTATTTATACATGATCCTTCACTTGCATTACTTGCATTGTGTTTTGAGAAAAAGTATTTGAATATAGCAATGAAATGTTGTGGACATCCACGTTATCTTATTTTTAAAATTAAATTTTGGTTATGCTATGTCGTTAGCTGTATTATGCTAAAAATATTGACTTTTTTTATAGTTTATAGATTTGATGCGGATTTAAATGCAGGCCACTGTCCTAAGCTACGTAATGTCAAACATTTGATTACTCGGTTTTTTATATATATAGTCAGTTTCAAGAAATTAAAAAATGATTTATTTTCCTTCCTCTATTTCACTGTATTAGGTGAAAATGCAATATATGTTGATTTGGTAACCATGTCACTATTCTACAGTTTAAGCTAAACGAAAATGTATATGTTTGACATAAAGAAAATTTTCTAAGTTATAAAACTATATTGAAGGGTTTATTCTTTGAGAAGTTTTTTAGGGTTTAGAAAAGCGCCTTTGCATGTTGAAAATGACGATTTTTGAGGAATCACGAAGAAAGCCCTCAATATTCTAATTCCACAAATGGCCTTTCGAGAAATTTTTGAGTTTTGAAGCTTCTAATACCCAAAATTGCTTAAAAGACAGGCTGAAGAGTAGTAAAAAATTATTCAAAGTCTACAAGATTAAAGGTTCTTTCCAAGAAGTTTCTGAGGATTTTTATAGCCCCTGGACAGACAATAGTTAAAATTGCTCGAAACGAGATTGAACATCTTTTCAAGGAGTTTTTCAGAGCCCCTTACATCTAAAAAATTGCTCAAGAAATGGACTGACAGAAAATAATTCTAAGTCTACAAAATTGGAGGTATTTCGAGGCTTTTTAGAGGGTCATCAAGTCATTTACTCTCAAAACTGTTTGAAAAATAGGACTGACAAGTAATTATTCCAAGTCCTCAAGACTAGAGGGCTTTTGAAGAAAGTTTAAAGGAGTTTCCAAGCACCTGACGACCAGAATGTGTTGAAAATAGGAAGTAGTTGAAAAATATTCTAAATCTACAAACCCAACTGAGCCCTCCAGAATTGCTCCAGAATTGCTCGAAAAAATAGGAAAGAACAAAAGAAATATTCTAAGTCCACGAGGCCAAGACAAACTCTTAGACCTCCAGAATTAGTCGATAAGAAGTCAAGAGAAAAATATTTTAAGGCCATAATACTAAATGAGTCTCTTAGATTTTTCTCAAAACCACTCGAAAGATAGAAAATAAAAGTCCTAATAAGACTCAAAAAGCTATTGCAAGGTTCAAAAACGGTTACCAATAGTTACCACCAAACGAAGGATCAATAATACGAAGAAAGATTGTGGGCGATAGTAGTTATAAAAGAAGTCACAACATACAGCACAATCACAAGCAATTGTAGATAACGAGTATCAGCAATTGAAGACAGTTACTAAGAAAGTGCTGGAGAGTGGTAGTGATCTCCTGCCTATAAATACTTCAAAATTGCATTCTACAAAGGACGACTTTTTACACCCAGACACCGCACCTAAAAATCTCTACACGCTGAAACCCTGCATCGCACTAGACATCAACTACTACAAGACTCACAATGGTCGTGATTTATTATTGCGAGGAGTCGTACATTACATTTATGCACATTTATGTTTCTGCGTTTGTTTTAGTTCATTTTGTTTGTTTCTGTTTCTGCAATTTAGTGCTTGTTTTACACGCTTTATGTAAAAGTTTTATATTTAATCAGTTTTACGTAATTATAGCTTACTATTCTTATTCAACACTCTGTTTTACAACGTTAATTTGAACATTACGTTAAACAACACACTTAAAAGAATTCAAAGGATCTAAATCCTTAGATTATTTGTTTACATTCTTGCAAATTTTCACTATAAACAGTATAAGAGGCCAATATAAACAATCATTTGATATATAATTACTAAAGTATATTGAATTTGATTTACATTTTAAGGAAACATCATGCGTCATCTTTCCTATTTAAGTGCAATTAAAATTAAATAATATAAATATTCGGTATAATTGTACGTCTATATTAGATTCATGAGTCACCTATATTTCAAATATCTTCGTAAAATATATGAAGAATATTATAAACCTTTACAATGTGTTTACAGAATAAGGTAATACTTACGGTGTGTTTGGGTAAAAATAAAAAATAAAAAGATAAAAATCACCAAAGATATTTTTTTTTCTACTGAACCATTCTTTTCATATAATTTTTTCCAAATTACTGAATCCAAAGAAAATATTAAAGTTTTACCCACAAAGAACAACATTAATACGGAATTTTGTTTTACCACGGGTGATCCATTAAATGTTATTCATTATTGTGACATCTTATGATATGAACCGTCTAAACTCTAAATTATAACAATTTTAAGTAAATGATTCGTAATAAGATAATTGTAAAATTTTAGTATGGCTCCTTAGTTAAATACATTGGTTTACCCAAACTTTAAACGAGTGTCGAATTTCTTTTTTTAATCTTGTTCATTGATCGTGACTCGTTTTAACAAATTTTGTACTATTAGAGCGCTGTAGTGTAAATTATTAAAATAAAAGCTATTTCTTTCTCAATCGGTGGGATGGACATATATTATCCACCGTATGTTTCTACCGAGAAGATGCTTGGGACCATTTCCATTAATCCATTAATATGATGACATTTTCTTATCTAAGAAAGCAAAACAAAACATGGCATGCAATATGTTGTTATGGGGGGTCTGTTTGGCTATCTACACAATTAAGTTACTTTGAGGAAGGTTCCATTAAATGTCAACAACGAGATGGAGCTAGCTTAGTATAAGTTTGGCCATGAATAAGTGCTAGAATTTGAAGGTTCTCTTCTTTTACATGAGTGATTTCATGAACCCTTTTTTGTCAAGTCATTTTTGTTAGCATTGTAAACCTTTTGTACAAGGATTAATGGGATATTCTTTGTACTCTTCTATTAATATATCTTTTTTGTTATTAAAAAAACCTGAAGAATAAAATATTACATTGGAATGTTGGAAATTCCCTCATTTCTGGTTGGAAACATGTACGCACAATTTTATTTTTTTTAAAATGTCAATCTGGAAACATGTAACCAACACAGCATGGTATTAGTTGGAAAATGTAATTATGTCAAACAGCTTTAACTTAAACAAAAATTAAAAAATTCATATTAAATAATTAATTTTGAAATACATTAATTAAATTATAATTGATCATATAGATAGAGCACTAAAATCCTTCAAATTAAAAGGTACAATAAATTTTATCTTAATTTAAAGTAATGTCAGTAATACTTTTTTTAACACATTTTTAATAATTAAATAAAATTTATTAAAAAATTTATATATATATATATATAAGATAAACATTAAGTTGAGTAAAAAAAGGAAACTTATATAGTTTTTATAAATTTTATTACTTTTAACTATAATAACTATAAATATGTTAAAAGGAATGAATGAGAGAGTATATTGCTTGCATTTATCTCTTAATTTAAAGATTTATTCGGTTCTAATATATAAAACGTATCTTGAACTTGGTGGCGAATGCGTGAAATTCATGGGGTCATGTAACGCTGAACTCTGGACCTTTCTTTCATCTGATGAAGATTCATATGGTTCATCGTGACACTCTGCATGCCAGCACGATGTTGGAAGACACGCATTTAATAGTTTGGTAAATATTTTTATATAATTCGATTAGAAATGTTATCCCCAGGACTTTATTTGGCCGTTATATTTTGTTTATTTACTACGAAACTTTTGATTTAAATAACTAAATGATTATATTAACGTGGTGATCACAATGTGGACTGCAGTGCCATGTCTAGTATTTAAAAAAGTAGCAAACCTGGTTGTCTACTTCAAATCACACCAAATGAGATTTGGTGCTTCAGCTATTAAATTTCTGTCTCCATGCCATGGCTCGGCAAATTAGTGTTTCTTTTTTATAATTAATCTTCACTATTTTTTCTTTTGGTGATTTACTTATTTAACCTGAACTTACCTGCCAAACTGGTCCAGATTTTAAGGTTTGAGAGAAGATCGAAATTGGAGATTTGAGCTAGCTTACATTTATACATTAGGTCCATTGATGATGAGAAAAAAAAATTCTTTAACTATAAGTTTAAGATTAAAATTTTAAATTAAAAAGTAAGTCTGTAAACTAAATCACTTAGTCCAGATAAAAGAAAATGGTTTTAAGTGTTAATTCATACTTAACCTTTTTCATCTCTCTTCATATTAATCAAGCAATTTTTTACTTCCTTAAACTCTTTTTAATGTGCATGGGTTAGGATCCTTGACTTACTACTTGAATTCTACAATAATAAGTTTCTTTAGCAGGTTGGATCTTACCTGAGGTCTATGTTAAAAGTGGACCCTTATACATCCCAATAATCCATAACAAAATTTGCTAGAATTTGCATTGAAATAGATCTTACGAACCTGCATTTATAGTCCTTAGTCAAGAATTCAAGGTGGAGTATGAGGGATTATATTTAATTTGTTTTAGTTGTGGTAAGTATGGTTATCGCAAGGAACATTGTGTTGAGAACCCTAAACATTGTCAAGAGGTGAGGGAAACTAAGGATAATACTCCTAATAGTTCTGTAGGAAATAAGGTTTTTGTGGGATTAATTCTAGTATAAGTTAGGATATGCTTCTAGATTGTGCTAATAAAGATATTTAACCAAAAGAGGACCAATTTGGACCTTGGATGATGGTAAAAAAATAGATTAGGAGAAAATCTAACCCTCCTTTGAACACTAGAATACCTTCCAAAAATGTGATAAACAAAGAGGCTACCTCAAGATCTAGGTTTGGTATTCTAGGAACCCCTAATGAGGACATGGAACAGGATGTAGATGTTAAAGCTCATAGTACATCAAGTCCCTATTTGTGTAAGCACTACGCCAGAAATTGACTTTTGGAGCGCCTACTTAGATAACGGTTCATAAAAACTGCTTTGTATAAAACACTAAGAAAGCGGTTCCACTCTAACCGCTCTCTAATATATACTTCTTAGAGCGGTTCCTATCGAATTGCTATCTAATATGTACTTCTGAGAGCGGTTCAATTGAAACCGCTCTCTAATATGTACTTTGGAGAGCAGTTGTTAAATAACTGCTCTCAGAAGTATATATTAGAAAGCGGTTATGGCAGAACCGCTCTGAAAGGTGTAGATTAGAGAGCGGTTATTTCTTAACCATTCTCAGATGTTGTATTTTTAAGTTACACCCTAAGCTCAAATCTAGTTATCCCTGTCGCCCACCAAGTCTGTACTTCAAAATTGTCTTTGTTTAGTGTTCTTTGAAAATTTTTGCAGAAGAACAAACACACCTGACATTACAATCGCAATATTAAGGTATATTCATAATCATTTCTTTATTTTCTGGCCATGTTTGGACATTCGCACTCTCTCATTCTCTCTGTTCACTAAAACGTACCTGTGTTATTGACGTTGAATAGTGACAAACGTCCGTCCTCCATTTCTGGCTTCAACTGAACTGCGACAAATTAGCACTCATTTCTTAATTCCAGGTTAGTGCATGCTGTTGTGTTTATAATTTGTATGAACTGAATATAATTAACATGTTGACCATTGCTGCCGCGTGAACAAAGAGAATGAAATTAGTTTTTATTTTGTAAAAGTTGATTTGAAAAGGTTGAACCTTAGTTTGTTAACCTTTGAAAAATTGTTGGAATAGTTTTTTTAAGATTTATTAAACATGATATTAGGACAGTGGTTAGTTATAATGCAAGAGATTAATGTGAAAATGTAACACTGGTTGACTGTAATACAAGTGATTAATGTGAAAATGTATTTGATTGTTGTGAAAATTGATTTTCTGAAATGAAGCCTCATGTTCTATTGTGTTTTTTTGTTGTTCCAATATAAATAGAAAGGAGGAACATGTTATATATGTTGTCCTGGGAATTGAAATAAGTTTATATGTTAAACAAGATATTGTTATTTGTTTTTCCCCCGTAATGTATATTTCCTCTATGTATGAATGAAATTGATGTTGTATTATAAAATGTTATGAATGCATGATTATTGTTAGTGATTAAATTTTGTAGTGTATAATTTGAAATCTAAAATTGAGTGAAACCATAGTTTCCCATTTGAGATTAAAAATAATGTTTTAATAAATTATTATTCTCAATCTCAAATTGTCCAAGTTGGACAATTTGTGAACAAAATTATTCATTCATTTGTTAGCATTTGCTTCTCATAATATTGTATTTAATACTTAAAAAAAATTTAAGTTTGAAGCATTTCTCATTGTCTCTTGGTGCATGCTTGATTGAGGTAAATCATCACATATTCAAGTTGTGTACTAGGAGACTAATGCGAAATGCCGTCCAAATTTTGTGAAGTAAAAAATACAACATTTAAGTAATAATTGTTAATTAAGGTTGGAAAAAGTTTGTTCTCAAATGGGATAGGGCTCTACCATGTAAGAGTTAATAAGACATGAACATTTATATTGATCGTAATTGTAGTTGGAGCAAATATGGATCGAAGTTGTATGGTAGCTGATCGATTAAGTGAAGAATACGAAGACGAAGTCAAAGGGTTCATTAGATTTGCGATTAAGCATGCAACTGATGTCAACCTTATTCCCTGTTCTTGTTGGTGTTGTTTGAATATGTTACAATTAAATGTGGAAGAATTGGAAGAACTTCTAACATACAATGTGATAGATGAAAAATATATTTGTTGGAGAAATTACGGTAAGATACAAGGTGGAAGTACATCAACTAACATGGAATCAAGTATCAATTACTCAGAGACATTTAGAACAAATGAGAGTGATCATGCTGAACAAATTTCAAATGTTGTTGAAGAAGATCTTAGAGATTGTCCAAAGATGTTTAAGAGGCTGAAAGATGATGCAAAAACACCATTGTATAATGGATGTACAAAGTTCACAAGATTGAGTTCTGTTTTAAAGCTTTATAACTTCAAAGCCTCGAATGGATGGACTGATAAGAACTTCACAGACTTGCTAAGTTTATTACATGAGATGCTACCAGAGGATAATGTGCTACTAAAGAGAACATATGAGGCTAAACAAGTACTTGCTTCCATTGGATTGACCCATGAAAAGATACATGATTGTCCTAATGATTGCATTTTGTTCCGAAATGAGTATGCATCACTAAGAAAATGTCCAAAGTGTAATGTATCACGATACCTAAAGAAATAATCAACACCTGCAAAGGTCGTGTGGTATTTTCCACTAATACCCAGGTTAAGACGTCTATTTTGTAGTGCAAAAAATGCAAAGCAGATGACTTAGCATGCTGAAGACAGAATTAGAAATAGAAAGCTTAGGCATCCAGCAGATTCTCCGTAGTGGAAAAAATTTGACGACGACTATGAAAAGTTTGCAACTGAAACAAGGAATCTACGTTTTGCATTAGCAACCGACGGAATGAATCCCCATGGCATGTAAAGTACCACCTATAGTACATGGCTTATGATCTTAATAATGTATAACTTACCTCCATGGCTTTGCATGAAGCGAAAATATATGATGTTTTCTTTGTTAATCTCTGGCCCTAAACAACTTAGAAATGACATTAATGTGTACTTGTCTCCTTTAATTGAAGATTTGAAGTTGTTGTGGGATAATGACATAGAAGTATTTGACGGATTTAGAGATAAAAATTTCATAGTCAAAGCAATGTTGTATGAAACAATTAATGACTTTCCTGCATATGAAAATCTTTCTGGTTACAGCATCAGACGTCAATATGCATGTCCAATATGTGAGGAAAAAAGATATTATATAAGACTAGAGCATTGTCACAAAAATGTTTTCATGGGGCATCGTAGGTGGTTGTCAAAAAGTCATCCTTTCAGAACAATGAAAAAAGCTTTTAGTGGAAGTTATGAAGAACGACGATGTCCTTATTTGAAGAGTGGAGAAGAAATCTTTGATGAGGTTAAACATATAAGAACAACATTTGGAAAACCTTTTGCCAAACAAATTTCAACCGCAGGTTGGAAGTAGATGTCAATTTTCTTTTAGTTACCGTATTGAAAATCTTTATACGTAAGACACTTTATTGATGTTATGCATGTTGAAAAAAATGTTTGTGAAAGTGTGATTGGTACATTATTAAACATCATGGGAAAAAGGAAAGATGGCATCAATGCAAGACTTGACTTGGTGAAGTTGGGAATACGATTTGATGTACCTCTAATGAAGAAAAGAAAGCGGACCTTTTTACCGCCAACAACATGTACCCTATCTAGAAATGAGAAATGATATTTATGTGAGACTCTTTATTCAGTTAAGGTTCTAGAGGGGTATTCATCAAACATTAAAAGTCTTGTATCACTTAAAGACCTAAAGTTAAAAGGATTGAAGTCTCATGATTACCATATATTAATAGAGAATTTAATTCCTGTTACTATAGGGTCTATTCTACCCAAAAAGGTTTGCATGGCAATCACGAAGTTGTGTTTCATTTTCAAGGAAATATGTAGTAAAGTGATTAATCCTAAGAGATTACCATGTTTGCAAAACCAAATAGTTAAAACTTTATGTGTGCTCGAAATGTATTTTTTACCGTCATTTTTTGATATCATAGATCATTTGACTATTCACTTAGTAGAAGAGACAAAATTGTGTGGCCTTGTATATATAAGATGGATGTATCTCATTGAAAGATATATGAAGATTTTAAAAGGGTATGTTAAGAATAGAAGCAGACTAGAGAGTTGTATTGCTGAACGATATTTAGTGGAAGAAGCAGTTAAATTTTGCAATGAATACCTATCAAATGTTGAATCATGTGGTATTTCAAAATCACGTCACACAGGAAGGACTTTAGGGGAAGATAGCAGTGGTTGTCAACAAATAGAGGACCCTAGACTGCAATGGGAACAAGCACACTTGTATGTATTACAAAACACCCCTAAAATTGAATCATATATAAGCTTGCACAAAGAGACACTGAATCATAAAATCCCACCAGAGGTGAGAATTGGATGACAAAAGAACATAACTAGTGATTCATTGGATGACTACAGGAACATATTGGCGAATAGTTGATACAAAATAACAATTCTGTTTCATAAATGATTTGATAGTTGTCAAAAGGTCCTTGTATTGATGCTTTTTCATACACTTCGTACTTAGTCAATGGGTTCACATTTTACACAAAAGAGCATGACGACCAAAGCACAATGCAGAATAGTGGGATCACTCTTGCTGAATCATTGTATATCTCCACTGCAAAGGATAGAAATCCAATATATTCAAATATGTCATACTTTGGAGTCATTGAACATGTATGGGAGTTGGATTATACTGACTTTCATGTAGCAAGCTTTGGATGCAAGTGGATAGACAACAACAGTGGTGTTCAAATTGACGATATGAGCTTTATAAGGGTTGATTTTAAAAAGGTCAATTACCAAGATGATTCATTTATCCTTGCATCATAGGCTTGACAAGTGTTCTACCTCCTAGATCCTGTTGACAAGTTATAGTCAATTGTCTTAATGTCTAATAAAGTAAATGCATTCACCGATGGAGAATTAATGAAAGAAGAAGTTAATGTGGAGGATGATCCTTTGAGAAGTGTTGAATACATGTCAATTGCAGATATATTAACAGATGATGAGAATTTTTATGCAAGACATGATCATGAAGAGGATATTTGGTTAAATCCATCATTTCATTCAATAAAAGGTCATAGGAAACTTGGTAAGGCTCCTAAAAAAAGAAAAAGGTGCCTCTATTATTAAATTTGAATTGATTATATTTTGTTTTTATGATTTTACTTTATCCCTGAATGTAATTATTTAATGTTAACCTTTACCTTTTTTCTTACAAAGATGACTTCTTCAGATAACATGGACGGGAGTCCCCCCATCACTCCGCTGAGGCGAAAAAGAAAAAGGGTAGAGGGATTACCAAACTTAAGTCCATTAGCAAATCAAAGAAGTTAGGACATAAGCTATAGGTAGATTGTCACCATCAATGAATATTATTGATATTCAAAGATCTTTTATGCTAATATTAGTAACAGTAAAATGTCTCAACATTTAAATTTGCATATAGATTGGCTAGAATGCAAAAGGTCAACCGATTGACCCTAACAGATCAAAATTTGCACATTTCATTGGCTTTGTTACTAGAAGTACAGTGCTAATCAGTTATTCTGATTAGACAAATGTCCCTAGTAATGTTAAAGAACACATTTGGGAGCAAGTTGAGGTACACAAGCACACTTTCAGTAATTTTATAGTGGTTTACGGAAGAGAGTTTATCTGATATGGTTTTTGTTTCCAATGTAGCAAACTTTTGAGGTGGAATCTATTCACAAAGATTTTGTTCTTTCATTAGCTGGACGGGACCTTCGTGCATTCCACACATGTTTGACGAAACATATATGTGACAAAGATGGAAATTGTGTCCCCCATCCTTCAGAGAAGTATCAGAGATTCATCACAGTCACTGATCACTGGATGGACTTTGTCAACCAAAGTTGCACAGAAACTTTTAAGGTAAATTATTACACATTATTACTTCAAATTACTGTCACCATCACAATTGGGTATTGATTTGGTACGTTTCTGAATGCCTAATTTCAAAAAGAAAGTGAGGCTAATGCACAAAGGGCGAAAGGAATGTCTTACAGATACAGGAGGTCAGCTAAGGGATATGCTTAGTTAGAGCAAGAGTTGGTATGTATATTTGTGTCTAATGTAACAATGTGATGATTTTTCATAAACTTATGTTAAAGCTATTGACGAGGGCATTTAATCTTAAATTTTGTATAGATTGCTACATCTGGGTCTAATTTGACCTCAATACTTCGACATGTCCTTTGAAAATGTGTTAGGGTAAATAAACAAGGTAGAATTGATGACGAAGGAATTCAAAAAATGGTCCATGAATTTGTAAGTAGTTAGGCCTAATGTGTTAGTATTTTCAAATACATTAAGTTCTATTTGAATTCTCCTTTAATGACCTCAAGGTATTTTGTTATGTTTATTGTAGGAAACTCTTTCACAGGTCACACCAGACGCTGAGACTGAATTAACAGCCCGAAATGACATACTCTCTCAAGCACTTAGTGTAAGAGAGCATCGTGAGGGCTGTAGGTTTTGGGGTGACCCAAAAATCTGCATTTGGGTCAGCTATATGTCCACATCCTTTATCTACTGAGTGACAAAACATGAAGCATTGGGTAGCACATTTGACCAGTGTAGTGACACAGTTGACAGAGGGTCAAGGACTACCCCCATTCATGTCAGGTCAGATGTCATTCAACCCTACTCAGTCCCCACCACCATGTATGCCACCCCCTTTCAATATTGCTCCTTAAATGCAACCAATGACAGACATTGGTCCCCAAACACCTATAGATGCACCTTGTACTGGCCATAGAGGAAGTTGCACACCAATTGCATCTGTTGAGATTTCAGAGGTATTTAAGCTACAATAAATTGTCATTTAGCTTTCAATATTTAGTGCTTTTGATTTAATTTTTGCGAAATATAACAAACTTTCATTTGTAGGATGATCATGACTGTATGCTATACTTGAATAAACCTTTTCGCCTGGTTACAAGAGGTAGAGTATATCATATCATGGCTAGGGACTCCTTACATAATATGGCTCTTCCTCCAGAGCATGGTAAAGTTTCTATAGAGGTAGTGCAACGACATAAGGAGGACTCTGCACTGCCTATCCCAAATGAACAAGCAAACCTGTATTCCCTGAGAGATGCCATTGTCCCTAATCACTTTAAGACTCAAGGTATGTATACAAGCTTCTTTAAGGTTTGGAAGACTAGATATTAGAATTAACAAATATATATTTTAGGTTGCCCCTTCATAAGCTAAAGGGTTAGGGAAAGAGACAGGCTACTCAAAAGAGTCCATTACTGGTCCATCCAATAAAGGTAGCAGTGCTTGTGTATCAAAAGAGATTCTTAAGTTGGCAGAAGCCCAAGGTGCTACATGCTTGGATATGATGAAACTGTTTGTGAGAAGTAATCAAGTCATTGATACAGCTACAATTCAACTGACATCTGAGCACTGGGGTAAAGAGTTTTGTGACATTGTGGAGAAGGAAAACATTATAGAGGTCATACGTCGACATTGGTTGAATGCCTCTAGCATTAACCTTTACATACAGTAAATTAATTTTCAAATTATATAATTCTTTAGCAATTTATAACCTTTTGAACCTTAATTGAATAATGCATTGTATTTTTACAATACAAGATATTTGTGTGAAGGTTATTTGCATGGGACAACAATGGCAAATAGATTCTCATTTATATCTCCATATGAAATGGACGAATCGCTCAATCCGAACCCACCTCAACATATAGCTGAAATGTTAAAGCGTCATATGGGTGAAGATCACTTGATTTTTGCACCTTATAATGTTGGGTAAGTCAATCTGATTGACACTCTCCTTTATGTTTTATAATTTAGCATATAACTTTTAATTCTTGTAATCTTAAACATATATTTATACTCGTGGTAGGCAACATTGGGTTTTGGTTGTCATCAATACCGCTAATGAGACTATGTATTATATGGACCCTCTACGCAAGCAGCTGAAGATCAGAACACATATGCAGAGCCTATTTAATAAGTAAGCATTCATTTATGTCAACCAACTATGATTAATGTTAAGTGGTTCAAATGTATCTAAGTTATTTGATGCACCATTGTTAGTGCTCTTCTCACGTATCGAGTAGCGAGGGAAGTGAAGCCGTCTAGGACAAAATTGACTCAAACAAAATGGGTCACTGTACAGGTAACACTATATCATACAATATGTTTTTAATTTTCAGGTAAATATTAATTGCACTGTATATCTTTCTTAGTTAATGTTGGTTTTTTTGTTTTTATCTCCCACATAGTGTCCAAAGCAAACAAATAATGATGACTGTGGATATTATGTGTGTCTATTCATTGGGGATGCTTTGTAGCATGGACAAACTGTAATCCTAATTAATGTAAGAATGTTACAATGCTAACTGTTTCCAATATGCTTATTATTTGACGTAATTAATTAAGCTTTGTGTTTTTATTATTTTGTATTCAGTACTTTCCAAAGGTGCAGATGCCAACTTTTCCTGACAACAGAATTCATCAAGTGCAAAAGGAGTAGTGTGCATATATATACCATACATATTAAATGAGACATTAAGCACAATTGATTATTAGTGTTTTTTTACAATATTTAGGCAATAAACTTATTCAAGGCATTAGGAAAAAAGTGTAAATATGAGATTATTTTCCTCCTGTCAATGTAAACTCTTATTGTAATCTGTACATGTGAATTATAATTGAATAAGTGTAATGTGCAATTGCTTTCAAATTCTGGTATATCAGGCTCTGTTTGAAATTTATATTTCGATTGAACTGGTTTTGAATACTGTATGCTTTACCAGGTATGCTAAAAATAGAAATTATGACAGTTTTATTAAAATAACTAAAAAATGTTTATAACTTTGGAGAGCGGTTCACGAATAACCGCTTTGCAAAGTCCACTTGTGAGAGCGGTTCACGTTTAACTGTTCTCAAAAGTACATTTAGGAGAGCGTTTAAATGTGAACCGCTCTTATATGTTTGAGATTAGAGAGTGGTTCACGCTTAACCGCTTTTTTAAGTATACTTCTGAAAGCGTTCATGTTTAACCGCTCTCTTAAGCGTAGAGATTAGAGAGCGGTTAACCGTTAACCGCTCTATTTGGTCCAGCTTCTGAGAGCGGTTCACTCATAACCGCGTTCTAAAATATACTTTGAGAGCAGTTAAATAACCGCTCTCCAAATATTAAGACATTGCATAGCATGAGATTTTATAGCGCTTATAACCGATTTCTATGTTCAACTGAAACCGCTCTAACATCTCATTTCTGGCGTAGTGAAGACCTCTAGCCCTAAGGCTCCAGTGTCAATTAAGCAACCTAGTAAACCCCTGATTATTAGTAAAATTATTGACCCTGCTAGGAAAGGACCAAAGTCCAAACCTATTCCTATACCAAGTAATGTAGGAAAGAGTAAAAGTATGACTTATCAGCCAAACAAGCCTAGTAATAGTAATAATGAGCAAGAAGTTCAAAAAAGGGATTTGAGTAAGGAGAATAAAGAAACCTTTATGCGAATGAAACTTTACAAGTAGGCCTTATAAGATAAGATGAATTCAAGTCATTCTATTCAAGACCTCATAGGTCTTAACTTTGGACTTCCTTAGAAGGAGCAAGATTTCCCTGCTCTGGATCCTACTGACAGACCTTTAAAGTTTATAGTTCAAATAAATCTTGATAAAAGAAACAACAAACTTGGAGAAATAAAAAGTGAGTTTTATAATCGAAATAAAGAAAAATACTTAGGACACTGTGAAAAATGGTGAAATGACATAAATTATGACTAAAAATAATAGTTCTAATGGTGGTTGTTGGTGCAATTTTTTCTTTTTTTTTCTTAATATTTTCTTCACTTTGAAGCTCTTTGGTTCTTCATTTTTTATATTTTCTATTTTAAAAAAATTTTGCTCTATCCCATTCTTCTCCTTTTGTGAGATCTCTTCCCTTAAAATTGTTGCTCTTTCCTCCTAAATTTTTTTTTTCTCCTAGTCTAGATCTTTCATTTCTCTATTTATATTAATCACATTTTCATATTTAAAGTTTTATAAGAAGCCAAATTTTTAAATTTTTCTCCTTATATATGAAGCAAGCATTAATTTACAAGTTTATTTGTCAACCGTATTCATTTTTCATTTCTTGAAGTCAAATTTGAGTTTTCTTTATTTGTTTAGGTTGGTTCTTATTTTTTTAAAAGCAAAATTATTTTATTTCTTCTTTTAATAAAATGGAATAAAGAATACAAATAAAAAAAATTAAGATTTTTTGAGAGACAAAAATTATTATTTGGAGTCCTCAACTTAAACATGAGTGTTTCCAATAAAATACACATGATAGTATAAAATGAAGTTATAAACAAGTTAATGAGCCAAAACTCAATGTTCAAAATTTAGAGTCATATGCCAATGGCACTCTCATTCCTTATATGAAGCCACACTCACCCACAAGCAGATCATCATCACTCGAACATATCTCTGCGACTCTCCTTACTCAAGTCTCAAGGTACTTTCTGAACTCTTCAAGCAAGGTATAAACACCCATTGAAAAAACATAAAAACATGACAATTGCATTTCATTCTTCCATGGAAAGGATATTAGCACACACCCCTATCATCGCTTCCATCACCATTCCTTTATTTATTTCGCTTATACTCTATTCTTTTTTTTTAAATCAACGTTTAGCCTAAAATCTTAATATAGCAAATTTGTCCTTTATATTTCTGTAATTGTGTTAATTAATTTTGGATTCAGATTGGGCTAACATCCGATTTGTGCCAAGTTAATGGGCATCTGATTAGTTAAAGAAAAAGATTGAATTGGATATGTAGGAAGTAAGTAGACGTGGGTTTGTTATTGAAATCTATTTTTTTTTTTTTTACACTACCTTTTTCTACTAATAACACTATCTTTTTCAGCTTGACCAAAAAAAAACACACTCCTTTTTCAGAAAATAAAAATTTTAAAAATATTTTTCACTTTCAAAAATTAAATTTTGAAAGCAACTTTTTCTTCTATTCTTTCCTTAAAATAGCATCTTCTTTCAACGTCAGCTTTAATGGGGAGGGAGGGGTTGCTGTTCTTTCCTCGAAATAAAAGCATTACCTAAATGAATAGAATGGCCTTTAAATAGCTTTTGCGAAAATAGGTACGATGCTATTGTTGGCTTCATTCCATATTCATATATCCCTTTCAAAATCAAACTTTCCCGTGTGCAGCATTCAAGAGGAAATAGGATAATATTTCTTTTAATGTTCATATCTAACACCTTTTGGGTAAATGTAAGTCATATAATTTTTTAAATAAACATCTCTCAATGCGTCTCTGTTTTTAATATGATATATATATATATTTTTTATTTTACAAACCAAGGAGAAATTAGATAACCAATTGATATTTCTGTTACGGAAAATATGTGATTGCATTAAAAAAAAATAAGTGCTTTTAAAAAATTCTAAATGAAGGACATGAAAATTTATTCACTTCAAATTTCATCTATTGTTGCTGAAAGGTACATGCTATATATTTTTTAATGATATGATAGAATAAAAAAAAGTTATTTATAATATGCGTTTGTTATGAGCTTTTAATGGTGTTTGTTTTTTTTATAACATGTTGATAATGTAGTTGCAATGCAAGGTAGATTGAAAATTATCTTAGATAAATCAGGTGTTATTGGTGTAAAACTAGTCCTAATTATATTACTTCATTTAATATTTGTTATGCATTTTTATTGTATTATTTAAAATTATAATTAAAAAAATACATTTTCAACATAAGAATTTTCTATTTATTCTCGTGTGGGAGAATTGTTTACTATCCTAAAAGTTATTTTGGAATAAAGTATTAAAAAAAAAACTTAGACCATGTTTAAATTAATAGAAGGTGACGAAGTGGAATAAAACATATTTAAATGAAACAGTGTGGAGCGGATTATAATGGAGTGAATATTTCATTCCACTAATTACATATATCTCAACATGATGGAATAATAATTTTATTTTATTAAGATAATGCATAATTAAAATTAATTATAATTGTTTTATTCTTTCATTATATAACAATCCCAAGTGAAAAAGTGAGAAGAAGGATTTATGAATGTATGTTAAAGATATATAGGTAATTCAACAATTATTAGGAAAACAATTAGGATTCATTCACATGAACTTTTGGAAAAAAAATAAAAGTAATGATTTTAGATAGAAAGGGACAAAATTTATCCCATTAAATATAATTTGTTTTATTGATATTTAATTAATCTAAATAATAGAATCATTTAAACTACTTTTTTATATAGTTCTTGTTTATCTTTTATCATCAATCTAAACATACAAGAGTAAAAAAAGTAAAAAGAAAAAAAGAGTGGAAAAACTAACCTCTTTACTTTCAGCATTGTTTGTATACTCATGAAATGAGCTTTGGACAAATGAGTTTATTTGGATCTTATTTTCATTCCAAGTTGGTTAAGAGGAGGAAAGTAATGTAATCACAAACCTTTTTGAAAGTAGTGTTGTACAGATATAATATTATGATTTTTTTAGTGATTTATTTTTCAATTAAAAATATTTTTACATAACTGACATTATAAAATTCAGCATTAAAAATGAGTGAGTTGTTATGATAAAATTTTAATTTATTTTGATTACAAATCTTAAATTACTTATGATAATATACTTAATATTACACAAATTTATTGCAAACAAGCCCAACTTTAGTAAGAAATAAAAAAAAGTTGTTAATTTTAATATTTAAATATAAATTTAGGTATTTAAAATTAATATTTTTATTAAAAAATTTACTATGTTGTTATAACTTTACTATAATAAATATTTTTAATAAATTATATTTATAAAATCAACCCTTAAATTAAATTTATCTACACTAAAAACTAAATTGTACAAAAATTAATTTCATTACACTATAAATCAAATAAAATATATCAGATATAATTTTTTTATTAGTTATTACATAAATTAATAATTATTCTTAATAATAATTATGGATTTTGTTTATCCTGTGCAATCTTGCATAGGATAAATTTTAATAAATACATTACTTAACTAATGAGAGAAGAATAAAAAATATTTTTTTAAAAAAATCATGATAAAATAATTAATATAAATTGATTAAGTAGTGTATTTATTAGAGTTTATTCTGTGCAAGGTTGTACAGATTAAAAAAAACTCTAATAATTATTCTTAATTCATAATTATCTGACAGAATTTATTATTTAAAACAACCTAATTTTTTTTTTACTATAATCCTTAATTATTTATTAAATTGAAGTTAATATTGGAGTAGAAAAGTCCATTCGGTGCCGTCTTATTAAAGATGGCAAATGAAGCCATTTATAGATCTAAGCGACACTTGAAAGCAGTGTAGCAACAGCCCCATTCATACATATCGGAGTAAAGACTATACAGAGAGCCCATATCCCAATTCCCTCGAGATGGCCGAGAATTGAATAGGTTACAACCACCACCTACTCAAAACATCTATTATATAAACCCTACACTCTCACCACAAGAACTCACTCGAATCAGCAATCAATAATTCAATTCCCAAAGAGACAAAGCATTGATCCACCGATTCATACCACTTCGAGAAATGGGTACCTTTAAGTTGGCAGTGGTTGTCGTGTTGTGCATGGCCATCGTGGGTTCCTACACTGCTAATGCCATAGATTGCGGTCAAGTTGGGGGAAGGCTCATACCATGCATAGGGTATCTTCGAGGAGGTGGTCCCGTGCCTGGCGCATGCTGTGGCGGAGTGAAGGGACTACTGGCCATGGCTAGAACCACTGCTGATCGCCGTAGCATTTGCAACTGTTTGAAGATGGCTGCTTCTGGGTTTAGAGGGCTCGTTCCTGCAAACGCTGAGTCTCTCCCCGGCAAGTGTGGGATTCGAATTCCCTACAAGATCAGCACCTCCATCAACTGTAATAGGTATGTCATACATGTTTGTTTGCATGAGATAGTTAATCCATGCTTATCTCTATGAAAAATAAAGATGACATTAAATATAATTATCATCTATAATTGTACACTAAAGAGAGTATCATTTCCCATGTTTACATACATGTATACGTACTTTTGCATTTGTTTTCTCAATGAAAAATGTTAATTTCACTCTTAAAGAAGTTCAACCGATTAGTAATATTAAAATTTTATTAAAAAAAATATTTTTTATGCCTTTAAGTTTTTAGTGTAATAATATTTTTAAAATAAAATTTATTATTATTAGTTCAAATTCAATTCTAAAGACAAAAATTAACAAAATTGATACATAGGAATTAATTTTTAAAGATAAAAAATTATAAAATACCAAAATTGTTATGAATATACTTTTATCATAATTTTCATAAAATTAATTATTATTTATTAAATTTAGAGTACTATTTATAACGCTCTAATGTTATTTTGAATGCTTATACGTACCTTAAAATTCATCATTGTACACATCTCAGATGACTCCTTTCATGAGAGAGACATCTTTAGAACAAACTAAATAAACTACTGTACTCTATATGAATGTTTATTATAGTTTAATAGTTTTCTTTTAAAAAAAAAAAGGCTTTCATTTTATTTGTAATATTTTTTAAAAAAAATCTATTGATTTCTTTTAAATTTTAAACTTCTTTTATCTAAGTATTTTTCTGGTGTGTGTCTGTGTGTAAGTAAAAAAAAAAGTATATAATATTTTAGTAATTTAAAAAACGAAAAATTTTATATTCTATTTTTCAAGATTGTTTATGTTTTTGGTCTCCTTAAAAAAATGTGGGTAAACTCTGCCCCTGCATGTATCAATTTATTTAAAAGCCTTTCTTACTCGGTTATTTCACTGATGCTCAATTGATTGAACCATTTTACATTATCTGATTACTTAATGAATAGATAACTTAATAGGATTTGTTTTTGTGATTGCAGCATCAATTAAAGGGAAAAAGGTTTGGGTGGTGAATCGGCCGTGATAAACTACGTTTGAAGAGAATAAAACGAACGACCATGTCTTCACTTAGGCGTACTAGTCTTTTCTTATGTTAGCTTACTGTGAAGTTTAAACACTTCTATGTGGTATTATGTGATCGATGTTATAAACTTAAATAAGAAAAAAAAGTTGTTGCTAAATCAATTCATTACTCGGTAATTGCAGCTCACTACATTAATTGTTATTCCTGAGATTTACCATCGGCTCTTGTTCATGTTAAGGTTGGTTTATCATGCTACAGAAACAAGTAAACCAACCCATACATGTGGGGAGAAAAGTGCTATTTGATGCTCCAGTTTTGTCTTTTCAATAGAGCATGAGACCCTTGGGATGATAAAAATTACACTTTTGATAAAGGGGATATAATTATTTTTTTCAAAGAAATTAAATGAACTGGATAATTATTTGGATTAATTCTTCCCTGTAATATAACTATTATGTTCCTGAGAGATCAACATAAATTTAGTCATCATTTAGTGCATGTCTTGTCTTTATTGTCTTCATTCAAACACCGGAGAAAAGGTCTGCAAAATTGTATTTAACTACGTTTTGTCTATCAAATAAAGCCCTTAAAGAATTGCAGATAAATTTATTTATAAAGTAAGGTCTCGTTTAATTAGAACTCTAAGAAATTAATAAATAATATTTATAGTAGTATAAGTATCTACAAATTCAAGCTCTTGTGATGAAAGAATGAACATCTGGAATAGAGATATATGAAATTTAACAAAAACTTATTATAGTCATTTATTTTTAATCCTTGAAATTATAAATATTAGCCATTACATTTTCTGATTTTATAAAACCTTTATGACTTCATGAAAATTGTGTATTTCAGTATTTTTTTTTTGTTTTAATTGACTTAATGCAGATTAAAATATTATAATAAATATTAAGAATTGAATTGACCATTGCATATAATATTTAGGATTAGATTGCCAATTTACTCATTTGGTTGATACTCTTACAAATATTTTGTAGGACTAGACATCGTTGATGGTACTTCTTAACAATTAGTTTGTTCCTTGCCTTAACTGATTAAAGGCCTTTACTTCCCAATTTAGGAGTACTTGCAAAAGCTCTTAAAATGATGCACGAATATTGGTGTCAAGAAACTGGGAGATATCATTGTTAAGCTATTTCAAAACGTGTGCAAGAATATAAAGATAATAAAAAAGCATCATCAAAGTCTGCCAAATTTTACATGAAGTGGCAAAAGCAGTTCTAAATTTATCATGGCACCGTTTTATGATTGTTGAAAAAGGCATAACTTACATATCGTTTAGTTCCCTATTGTCTACATATTTTGGTGTAAAATAGCTCTTAAAAGAAACACACGAGATACATTTTACTTAGTTATTTTCTTTTATAGTCACACTTACTATTAATTCTTATTTAATATTTTAGATTCTTTTATGGGCCAGTCCAAGAATACCTAAGATCCCACCCAGCTCCATATGTAGCACTTTGTCAATCCAACTTAGATATCCAATCCGAAGCCCATTCATGCACCAACCCAAACAACCTCGAATGTTAATGTGCGCTGCCCCTGAGAAATCATTGCCACAGGATCATGTTTTTCACCCCAAAAGGTTCATAAAATAAAACTACTACCATACCTTACTATACATCACTAAATTACACCAGATATGCAAAGGAAATTGACAATCCAGAAGGCCTATTTTATTGAGCAATGAAGCATCTTATCTTACATGGCAAAACTAATAAAAAGAAAAGAGAAAAAAGTTTGGCCCAATGAGCTTGTGGCTTCTTTTTCATAGTTGACAAAAAATAAATTAAAAGATTTTCTTTCACTAGCTTATACAATTTAATAAGTTACAATTCTATATTGATTTATCCTAGTACAAACAAACTTCAGTTAAAAATGTAGATGTTATCCTTTCATTGGATGAACAAATCCATATCTATGAAGATACTAAAGTCACGATAGGAAAATAATCGCGTAGAGAAAAGAAAGAATTGTAGAAAAAAGAAACACAATAAAAATTATTTAAATAAAAAGAATGAATTATTTGTAATTTTTTTTTTACATTTTTGTATTAAAGAAATATATTGTAAAAAAAGAATTTATCTTACCACTTTATTTTTTTGGTTTTTTTTTTAAAAATAAAATAATTTTTTTTAATTTTTATAAAGAAAATATGCTAGAAATTAATCTTAGTTTAAAACAATTTTAAAAAATTTTTGAACCTGAAAAAGAATTAAAAAAATTAGATTTGATGAGTCAAGTTTATGCTCCTACGAATCCTTAGTGTGCAACGTAGGAATTAAAGTTGTAGTTCTTTTTTTGAAAATTAAATTTTGGATAAGTTTAAAAGATTTTTTTCTTTTTATTTTGAAAAAACTTGATTTTTCTTTATTATTTTTTAAAATAAATTCATTCCTACACAGGGTTCAAGTTAGTACACGGCTACTCAATACACCCTTACGATCCAAGCAACATTGAAGGTAGATCTACCAGTCTATAAAAATCGTCTAGCCGTTGCATGGATTTAAAATTTTTTTCCTTTTTCTTTCTTATAACAAACAAAAAAATACAATTCAGATATTAATATTAAATTTTTGCATGCCGGAGGGAAACAAGAAAGAAACATAAAAAAAATGAAAAATAAAATGAAACAAAGGCAAAAAAATAAAATAAAATTAAAAGCAAACAATAGTTTTTTTTTAGATATTTTCAAGTTAAAAAAAATAAAAGTTTTAAAAAATTATTAGGGTTAAAAAATTACTTTTAGGGTTGGCAAAAAGGCAAAACCAATAATATGTTTTTTATTTTTTTAAGATATTTGGAGAACTAGGGTTTGCAAAAATATGTTAGGATCTAAAAATTATTTTTTATGGTTGGAGAAAGATTAGAACTTTTAGTTTTTTTTAATTGTTAATCAATTAAGTTTTTAGGGTTTGAGAAAAAAATTTAGGGATAGAAAAAATTAAGACCAGGCCCGTTCCTGACTTTTTTTGAGCCCTAGGCAAAATATTAAATTGGGGCCCTTTAAAAAAAAATTATATGACATAATACAACAAAATAAAAGCATAATTCTATTAAAATAATATGTTTTTTAAGTAAATAGAATTTTTTTCTAATAAAATTACAAAAAAAAAAATCCATTCAAATAATTCTTATGTCATCATCAACTACAAAAATACAAAAAATTATAAAAAATGAGTTCTACGAGCATTTTGAGATGCAAAATCATTAATGATAACATCCGTATCAATGTTTTTCAAAAATTCCTTCTCGATCTATAAAATTGCAAGACCATTCAACCGTTCTTGTGACATTGATGACCTTAAGTAGGTTTTGATCAACTTTAACTTTGAAAAACTTCTTTCAGCTGATGCCACAGTCACTGGAATTGTCAAAAAAAATTTATAAGCGATTGAAACATTTGGATAACAATCTGCAGATTTGACAAACTCAAGAATTTCAGTAGCTGACATTAATTCATTTGGTAAAGTAAATTCCAACATTTTCAATTCTGAGTAAAGATCATTTAAATCAACATCTGATGAATCACCATGAGAAAAAGTATAGTGAAAAGTAGCACAACATTCTTTCAATTCCTTTTCATCCAATGACTTTAACTTGTTTGAATCAAACAAAAACTCAAAAATACTTTCAAAAGTTTTTAGTTGCTCAAATCGGCTTTTCAAAGAAGTAATTGTCATGTCCACAACAACCAAAAAATATTCAACTCTAAATAATTCTTCAGCCGATTGAATTTCTTCATCCTCTTGATTATTTTCATCAAATTGTTTTTTCCTAATAACACGACGCTTTGTCGGAAAGGTAGGCTCTACATCCATACTAAGTGCAATACTTTTAGCAATATTCATACTAGAAGTATAGCCTTGATCTCTATATTTTTCAAAGTATGACAATATACCTTCTAATTGTTTTATAGTGGTGTCAATGCACATAGATTTAGATTGCAATTTCTTGCTCACCATATTTATAGTAAATAAAATTTCATGCCAAATAACCATACCAAGCCAAAACCCAAAACTCCCAAGTGCATTATATAAACTTTCCGCTTCACTCTTTGACTTTGCATCTTCACAAGATTCATATAATTCTGACAAAGCCAATCTTAATTGGGGAGTTTGAAATCTAATAGCTTTAACACTTGTAATTCGACTCTCCCAACGAGTGTTAGATAAACATTTCACAGTTAATTCAGGGACATTGTCAAGCAAAATTTTCTATTTTTTTGTAGAACCTGAAAATAATGAATATATGCGTTGAACAATTCCAAAAAATGAAATAGCTCTAGTGCAAGAATGTGCCATGTCGCTAAGAGTAAGATTTAGACTATGACAAGCACAAGGCATATATAATGCTCTCGGGTTTATTTCAAGAAATCGCTTTTGCACACCCTGATGCTTCCCTTTCATATTGGAACCATTATCATAACCTTGACCTCTTACATTATTAACATTAAGATCCAAAGACTTTAGAACATTTTGTAATTCATTAAAAAGTCTCAACCCCGATGTATCATCCACTTTCAAGAACTCTAAAAAGTACTCCTCAATTTTTATTTTATTAGTTGACATATTCACACATCGTATTATTAGAGTCATTTGCTCTTGATGAGCAATATCAGGGGTACAATCAAGAATTATAGAAAAATATTTTGCCTCTTTGATGGTCTTAATTATAGAACTTTTAACACTATGGGCCAAAAGGGAAATCAATTCATTTTGAATTTTATTCCCAAGATAATGATAATGAATTTCATGATTTTGAATGCGTCTAACATGATCTTGCATTATCACATCAAATTCAGCAATCATTTCAATCAATCCTAAGAAATTACCATTACTATCTTGATAGAGTTTTTCATGGGATCCTCGAAAAGCTAAATTATGAGTAGCAAGACATTTTATAGCTGAAAATATTCTAAGTAACACTTGCCTCCATCGGT